GTTGTGAAGGAAGAGAGTTTAGTGGCCAATGATGATCTGAGTGAACTTATCACTTGTTTTTATAGAAAAAAGCCTTGGCCACTCCTCACTTCGTCCTACTGATGCTCAAGAGTGCAAAGATAAATGCAGTCCCTTCCTCTGTCTGCTTCCAGGGTCTTGCCTAAAAGATGAAGAATTTTCACAGGTTGGAAGTGGACAGGTTCTCCATTATATCTTTCTCTATGTCCTCTACCCTATCCCTCCTGCCTCCCTGCATTAGTACCCTTTCAAAAGTAGAAAGAACATTGAAATGTATCAGTAAGTTACATGTATTTTCCCCTGCTTAACATTACAGTTTTGATTTCTACAGAAATTGAAAACTGTATAAGAAAACTATTTTCAAATTACTATTAAAGTTCAGTGTTTAGCTAGCTTTGGCTAGATATCTGATTTACTTTAAACTAAAGAATCAAAACTTTCTAATTCTAAAGCATTTCACAATGGAATTTAAGAGCTGCACATCTGAAAATAACTTGAGAGGTAGGGTCATCTCTGAGATGCTCAAAAAGTATTTACTCCTGATGGTAATCTCTTTCCTTACTACCTTGACTCCCATAATAAAATTGCTCCATCAAAGCAGACTTATTAAAAAACAGATTCAGATCTGTTTCATAAATGAGGGCATTGACATATTGAAAATATAAAGCTGTTTTCTCTCCTCTTAAAAACAATCCCGGCTTCACCAATAGTAAATATTTCTGTGACTTTCTCTCTAAGAGAGAATGCATAGTGAGGTTAGAGGCATGAGGGTAGGGGGAATCAGTCTAGTTCCCAATGAAGAAATATGCAGCCCAGCAGATATTTTGGGTTGCTTTTTATATAAAACTGATTGATGCAAAGCTTCTGAAAATAAAATAATTTATATTCTTAATAAAGAAAATATGTGACATATAAGTTAATATAATATATATGATTAAATCATATTTCTAGAGAATTGTAATGTACTATTATGGTATCACACAGTAATGGTATATAACTAAACTGGTATACATTATAAGTCTTTAAATAGAATCTTCATTTTAGAAACTATAAAATAGAAAATAGATAAAAAAATTTCCCTAATATTTTCTCTAATTCTCTGATTCATATTACATATGTAATCTCAACTTATTAGTTTCCTTATAATACTGAACTGATGTCAGTTTCTTTTAAAATGTGTATGTGAGTTTAGGTTGATTTTTAAATTGTGTAAATTGGCTCTATCATAAACTATGTCATGAAGCATCACAGACATATGTCACCTCTTATCAGCATTTTATTGCAACTCAGAAAACAGTCCTATGGACTTAGCCACAGTTGCACAATTCTGCACATTTATTTAGACCCAAATTTTAACAGATTGTGAGACATATAAAAGCACAAAGCAAGTAATAAACAAGCACTTGTGATAAAAATATGTCACGGTTGATGACCTAAAGTTTTAATACAGATAAGACAGAAATTTTAATTATTTAAATAAAGCTTTGAGTGCATTTATAGTAATAAATACTCTGCAGTCTCACTGTCACTCATCTCCTAGTATCCCGTTTATTCCAAGAGAAGCTTTTGGAGTTAAATGATGAAAATAAGTAGGGATTTGGAGTATTTTCATGGTCATGGAAAAAGAAAAGCAGGCAATATGCATGCCTATAGTCTCAATGAACAAAATCTTCCTGTTTTCAGTCTCTGATTTGATCACAACCCCCAAAAAACATATTAAGTGATTTTGGTATGGAAGAGATTGAATGCTAATCACTAATTTGGGGTCAAAAGCCAAGAAAAATATAAAAAGCACTGAATAAATAAAAGACCTAATCCACTTGAAAATCTAACATTAGAATACTGCCACAGAGTGACCACCTTATTAAAATACTGCTTGTTAGAGTTTTAAGTTTATCTTTTAATCAATGCTGACAGAGTCACGGGATCTTTCATACTTAACTTTCATGAGATTCTACATTTTTTCTGTAACATGGCCAAGAAATCTTTCATGAAATAAAGAGGTGTTAAGTAAAAATATATACACACCTTTAATTTCTGGCAGGATTAAACACTTACATTTACTTAAAATATCTTGGTATATAGCATTAGGTAAATTTGGTAAATCTTGAGATAGCACATTTTGTTTCTTTAATTTAGAAATATTTTCAAGACATTCACTATACCTATTTTATTTGAAAAGTAAACTGTTCTTATTGGATAGTATGTCATCATTCTCTTCTATGACACAACATAGTGTATAAATTCATTGTTTGGAAAATCAGGACTGCTTTGTAAAATCAACACTTGTTGATTTCACATATATTTCTACATTCCATACACTCTCTCCTTTCTACATGATTTTCTAGGCCTCTAATTGTTTTTTAACCAATACTTCATAGTTCAGGAATTGTCCTAATTTATGCATGCATTTTTCCTCCTCAGATATACACATGGATAAACTAAGTGTATGAGAGTGAACTTAAAGGCCAATAAACTTAAACTTAGAAACAGACTAAAATGCCCTTCTTCAGGGACTGTAGATGTCTACTTTTCTAACCACATCTAGAGCGTCAGCATACTGCCTCTGAAATCTAACCTCAAGTATCATCCGAAGGCTAAAATCATTTGGGATTTTTGCTTCTTATCAGGTTTTCCCTGGACTAACAAATGGCTGTGTAGATAACGGAACTCACATGCCATTTACACAATTTCTTTTTTTTCCATTTCCTTTTCAAGCTTGTTCAAAAGCTGCCAATCATCCACTCCTACCATGTATCCCCTGGGCAGGAATTTATTCTGTAGTTTAGTGTAAGTTTCGGGCTCTTTTGTCTATTTTTGTGGTTTGACGAAAAGTGATATTCTTTTGACAATCATCTCCATTATCATTTGGAAGTATTAGTCTCCTAAAGTATTAGTACAAACAAAGCACCTTTTTGTATAGTAATGTGACATTACATCTTTGAAGATAAATTCATATTTCTGTAATTAAATAAGCAGAAGCCATTCACTGTATCAGCTTGATGAACTGTAATGGCATGAAGCACTTTAACTATATTGCATATGCCTCGCTAATGTACACTCAGTTTTGGCAGACTTTTATTTATTTATGCACTGAACAAATATTTATTGGATAATTTTTATATTATAGATGCTATACTAGGTGCTGAAAGAAAGAACCCAATCATGCTCATACCACTCAAATGCATACCGCCTGTGGGCCTATTTGATTGTAAACTAGGGTCAGAAGACCACCCAAGAGGTAAAGCTTCTTTAGTATCGGTCATATAAGTACATTTTTTTTCCTTAAGATAAAGTAGGTTGTTTTGTCTTATACCCCATAAAGTGACCTATAGGATTACCCAATTCTATGGCTTAGAGAGATTTTACAATGGGGTTTCAGTAGAAATTATTACTCATCTTTCCCAAAATTTAGATTAGTGGAACCATGATGAATTACATAAACACTTTCAGCAGATTCTGTCTTCTGACTCAATTTGACATGGCCATTTATATTGATTATTGTTCATTGACCTAAACTGATGTATGTATTAATCTAATAGATATAGCGTACACGTTAGAATTCTTTCTTCTCGAAATGCCTACTAAGCACAAAGAAAAATGCAGTTACTATACAAAGTATAAATCTCAAGCTTTTAAAAAACTAGGAAAGCAATGAAATAGCCTGCAATTAAAACCAATTAAAATGGATTTACAAAATGAATGTGCCAAAGAATGTGACAGCATTTTGGGTAGGTTTAACTTAAAGGACCACTGTGTTTGATGGGGACACTTTTGTAAAAACTGCAATTCCCAAAACTTAATGTAGTGATCTACTTGTGCCACAAAGATGTCAAGCTTAGCTATCAAGGTTTGTATTCATGTATATTGTAGGAAAGACATTTTAATAATAAATATTTAGATAGAGTTACTTTGAGGACAGGGCAGAGAAAGAGCTGCAACAGGCCAAAATTATTCATTTTCTTATCCTATAAATAGGCCAAACAATGGAAAGTCTTCATCAAATCTTCAAAATATTTATTTGTTGTAGAATCAGAGTTGGTATTTGAAGATTCAAAAGACCAGAGAATACTTTTGGTGGAAAAATCAGAGGAAATAATTAATCAGAGTACCCATATTTTGCTCAAAGCAGTTGTTACACCGCATTTGGAAAAATCACTTCACTGTCTCTTATAGATCAGTTTCATGAATCTTCTCCAGGCTTGTAGGAATGCAAAATGTATTCAAAAGAAAGAATATTTAGCAATTTGGTAGTCACGAACTCTTATTCACGTAAGGAGCAAACCTAATTATCAACCCAACCAGAACTTAAACTCTGTAAGGTTAGGAGCTAATTTGATATAATGAGCAATATTTAAATAACTCAGTATCAATGAATATTCTGGATATGTGATACTTTTTTTCATCCAATTTAAACTCTCCTAAAAATGTAAGGGTGGGGGAATGACAGAGGGAAAGTAGAGAAACAATGAAAGAGAACACAGAGACCAATGTCCCTGAACAAAAACAAATCGCTATCTCCTTGTCTTCAGTGATATATGCGGTTAAATCCCCCATGTGCTCAGTATACTGGAAGAGTAGCTATCCCTGCCTCCCACCAATAGACGAAGGTCATTTATAAAAAATGTTTTCATCACATAATTAATCACATTCAACTACAAATGGCAGAGACCCAAAAAACACTAGACTGCTATTAATATATTTTTGTTTGTGTTTCAATACTTTTGGCACATAAGGGATTATCTATGATTCTGAGACTATTTAGCTTTATATCAAAAATTCCACTTCAATGCATAAACAGTGGCATGCCAGAGATGCCTAACTTCACAGTAAGGTTTAGGGATATTTGTTGCCAAAAGCTGTGAACATGCAAGGTAATTAAGTGTTCTCTTTCATGCTCCTGTCTGTATTATTTCATTAGATAATGAGATAGGCTGCCCTTTCTGTCCATCATTAGAGCAGCTGGAGACAGCATTTGCTACCTGGCAAAACTTTCGAAGAAGGATCTTTCTTAGCAGCAGATAAACCCAAGGATCCAAGATCTGGTTCAATGAAGCCAGGCGAACAGCTATTAAGAAGAAGCTGCATTCTTTCTCCTTTCCTGTGTGTGTCTTGCAGTGCTCAACTGATGTCTGATTGAAGATCATTTTCAACATCATTATCTAAAAAAGGACAAATAATTATTCCAAAGATTATTAATAAGGTCATGTGTATCTCCTCTACACAGTACTTTGCATAGAAGATTTTCAATAAATTGGTTGTAGAATTGAAATGATTAATTCAAGCAACATTTATAGTCACAGAACACAGTCCTAAATTATACAAAACATTCCTATGAATTTTCCCACATTTTTGGCTATTTGACATGATGCAGCTTTTTAAAACACACATTGTTCTCAGGCTCTTGGTCCTTGGAATTTAAGAAGCTTGAAAATAACAAATCTCAAAATTAGCCAAAGTCATATGTCTTGTTGCAGAAAATACCTGTAGGTTGACACCCAAATTATAGCAAACACTTCAACAACATCCTAAACATATTTAATGTTTAAACTTCAGTAGTTCTTACTGAAAAAATTAAATCCAGTGAAGAAAGAGTGGGAGCAAGAAATGGGAAAATAATATTGTTATTATTAGTGCTGTTAGTATTTCTGAATCCTTACCTTTTGCCAAGCACTGTGTCAAGTTCTTCATGTGCATTTAATAAATAATATAAGATAGATACTATTACCGCCTCCTTTTTATAATCGTAAAAACCAAGATTTAATGATGTGAAATGTCTGAGCCAAACTTAAACCCAAGTTCACTAACGCCATATAACATATGGCATTATTTTTTTTGTATCTGCCCCATGCCCTCAAACATGCTAGAATGTAAATTCCACGATGGCAGGGATTTGGGACTATTTTTTTCCCCACTAGTATATTCCCAGTGCCTAGACCAATATTTACCAGGTAGTAGGTTCTCAATGAATATTTGTACATGAACAAATATTTATATTTGAATGAATATATGATATATGAATATATGAATATAACATTACACAACATATATATATTTATATTTGAATTAATACATACTTGTGAATGAATATTTGTGATTTCCACAGAAGTGAAAAATGAAGGTTCATGTGCATATGAAAATATGTTTAAACTCATTAATCATAATCACTAATCATCAAGAATGTAAATTAAGACAAAATAAGATGCCATTTTTCACCCACTAGATTGACCAAAATGAAGAAATGTGACTATATCAAATATTAATGAGGATATGTATGGAACAACAAAGACTCTTTCACATACTACTCTGAGTGTAAACTGGAACAAGCATCTTAGAAAACAATTTGGCACTATTTCACTTGCTACCTCCCAGCGAGACTTCCCACACCAGGAGTTGTGTGTATGACTGTTCATAACAGCATTGTTCATATTCGCAAAAAAAGCAGGAACAACCCAAACATGGATTCACATTTGCATGCAGAGAGAGGAGTCGACTTTGTAACTGGCCACTTCATTCACCTTTCTAGACCTACACAGCTATTGAGCACTTGAAATGTGGATGGAGCACATAGAGATGTTAGAATATGTAATATTTATTATGTAATAAATGATAAAAAACACTTATTACATAATAAATATTAAACATTATCAAATAATTATTAAATGTTAAACATTTATTACATAATAATACTTATTAAAATTAATGTCACTTGTATGTTTTTTAAACTTTTTTTTTACAAGGCTACTAGAAAACTTAAGATTATCTATGTGGCTTGCATTTGTTGCTTACAGTACATTTTTCTCTCTTGAGGCTCACACTTATGAGGATGTTGTCCCCTCAGGTCACATGCCTCAAATGGAATTTAACATCCCTGAGCATTCAAAACACCTCTAACCAGACTCTTCCAGCAATGGTACTTTCTTCTTTACACCATTTGTTTTTTTTTTTTTTTTTTTTTTTTTTTTTTTTTTTTTCCCCCTTTTTTTTTTTTTTTCCCCCTTTTTTTTTTTTTTTCCCCCTTTTTTTTTTTTTTTCCCCCTTTTTTTTTTTTTTTCCCCCTTTTTTTTTTTTTTTCCCCCTTTTTTTTTTTTTTTCCCCCTTTTTTTTTTTTTTTCCCCCTTTTTTTTTTTTTTTCCCCCTTTTTTTTTTTTTTTCCCCCTTTTTTTTTTTTTTTCCCCCTTTTTTTTTTTTTTTCCCCCTTTTTTTTTTTTTTTAATAGTTTTTAAGGTAGCCCCTAATTATTTTTTTAATTTTATTTAGATTTATTTTTGTGGGGTACAGTGTGTTGTTTCAATACATGCATATACTGCACAATAATTCACTGAGGGTAGACAGCAGAGTTTTGTGCGTGTTAGTCCACCACTTCTCTTCCCCCCTCACCCCCTTCCCTTCCTGGCCTCTGGTAACCATTATTCTATCCTCTACTTCTATGAGAACCTTTTTTTTTTTAGATTCCATATATGGCCACCAAGCACATGAAAAATGCTCAAAATCACTAATCATTAGGGTAATGCAAATTAAAGCTACAATGAGATATCATCTCACTCCAGTTAGAATGTTTATTATTGACAAGACAGAAAACAAATGCTAGTGCAGATGTGGAGAAAAGGCACTTTCTTACATTCACCCTGGCTCAGTGCATTCAAAGCACTCTTTAAATTCTTCTTTTGCTTCATTCTCTGCAATGCATTTTGCTCTTGTTCCATTGTTATCCTAGTTCAGGTCCCCCTCTCATTTAAATTATAGTAATAACAGACACCCATATGGTACATGCTATGGATTGAATGTTTGTGCTCCCCCCAAATTCATATGTTGAAGCCCTGACCCCCAATGTGATGGTATTAAGAGGTATACTTTATTTAAAGAAAGGAGATGGTTATTCTCTTCATTAATAAATATTCATTATTATACACCAAATTTACTTATATATGTCTACATTAATATCTTCTGATGCTGCTTTATTGTCCTATGAACTAAATATTACCACCTCCCACTGTAGTAGGGAGAATAATGGCCCCCTCACAAAGATATCCACTTCTCAGTCTTTGGGACCTGTGCATATGCTACTACACATGGCAAAAAGGACTACTGATGTGATTAAGGTTAAGGACTATGAGGTGGGAAGATTATCCTGGGTTATCTGAGTGGGCCCATTGCAGTCACAGGGGTCCTTAAAATCAGAGTACCTTTCCCAGCTGTGGTCAGAGGCAGATATGACTACAGAAGGGTCAGAGATGCAATGTTGCTAGCCTTGAAGATGGAGGAAGGGAGCCATATGTTAAGGAATGTAGGGAGCCTCCTCTGGAAACTGGAGAAGGCAACAAAATGATTCTCCCTCAGAGCCTCCAGAAAGTAATGCAGCCCTTTGGACATCTTGATTTTAACCCATTGAGACCCAAGTCAGACTTCTAACCTACAGAAGTGTAAGAGAAATTTGTGTTGCTTTTAAGTATCAAGTTTGGGGTAATTTGTTATAGCAGCAGTGGAAAACTAATACACCCGTAATATACCTACACACAATGATCTATTGTATTAGTCTGTTTTGTGTTGCTATAACAGAATACCTGAGATTGGTCAATTTATAAAGAACAGAGGTTTATTTGGCTCACAATTCTGGGACAGCTACATCTTGTGTGGGCCTCAGGCTGCTTCTACTCAAGGCAGAAAGTGGCAGCAGCCGGCGGGTACAAGCAGATCACACGGTGAAAGGAAGCAAGAGAGAGAGAGATGAGGTGCCAGGGTCTTTTAAGCAACCAGCTCTCTGCGAACTAACAGAGCGAGAACTCACTCACTATCCCCACCCCCAGGGAGAGCATTAATCCGTGGGATCTGCCCCCATGACTCAATCAGTTTCCAACACGGCCACGTTGGGGATCAGATGTCCACATAACTTTGGCG